AAAAAAAAACTTAATTACAGTGTGCCTTGAAGTTTTCTTCATGTTTCTTCTGCTTAAAGCTTCTTGGAACTGTGAGCATAAGTATGATCTGGCCTTTGCTCCTTCAGCAATGGGGATCAAGCCAGGGCCTCCCCCATGCCAGGCACGTGCTTGTCCACTGAGCCACATCCCAGGCTTTCTGTCCTTTCCTCCAGAGACTCCAACTTCAAACGTAGGGCTATTGGTTATGCCACCTACAGATGCTCTTTTCACTCTTAACAGTTTATTTTTAATTTTGGAGGAGATAGTTTTCAGTGCTATGTCATGAAATTCACTAAATTTTACTTCTACAATGTCTTATGTGCAGTATAATCTTTCAACTCAGACACTAGTTTTAAGAAGTGTGACTTGAATTTTTGTCTACTATACTATAACTTTCTGAATATATAGTAGATATAATCATTCTATGACAAAATAGAATAGTTAAATCATCTGTTCTAAGCTTCTGCTGTACCTCATTACTGGTTATATTTTTCTGCCTCTTTGCATACACACTAACCTCTGCCTGGAGGCTAGACATTGGGCATATTTCTGTATTTCTGTAAATTTTGAGCTTTGATCAGAACAGAGATGTTCATTTACTTGGAAAGTCTGATCCTTTCAGGTCTTGATTTTATCATTTGGTACGTAGATCCAAAGCAGTAGATTATTCCTCACTACTGAGGCAGAACCTTCCCGAGTATTCCACTCAGTGCTCCATGAATTAAGATTTGCTTCCAGTCAGTTCCTGACAATAGGCTTTGTTCTTGGCTCTATACAAGTGACAGAGCAGTTCCTTTTTGTGTCCTGGGATGATTCTTCTCTCACCTCAGCACAGAGTGAATGGTATGCTGCCTAATATTCAAAGGGAAACCCATGCATTCTTTCTCTGTGCAGTAAGCTCTTCTCTGGTACTGTTCTAAAAACTCTAGCTAAAGTTTCTCCACATCCAACACCATCTCCTTGGGCAGCAGGCTAGGTTCTGTCTCAAGTGCCTCTACTACATTTCCTAAACTTCATTTGGAACCAGAAGAGACCTAGAATAGCAAAGGTAATTCTGGCAACAAAGGCAAGGGAGGAAGCATAACAAGCCCTGAATAGAAATTACACTACAAAACTACTATGATAAAATCTGCATGGTACTGGCAAACAAACAAACAAAAAAACAGACCAGAGGATCAGTGGAACAGATTAGAAGATGCACTCACATCTACAAACACACTCAGCCACCTTATGTTTGACAAAGGAA